GCAGTGGGAAAGGCAGCTGCTGGGGAGGGTGAGCAATTGGCATTCCCAATCTCCAGGCTCGACACCTTCAAAACCACTGGCTCTAAGCAGCAACCAACGCCATTTCACAGAGCCCAAACTTCAAAAAGCCCCATCTCAGCTCTGCCAACCCAGACATCACTGCCTGTTCCTTCCTGAGTGACCTGAGCACTGCCAGGGTCTTGCACCTGTGGGTGCTTTTTGGTTTGACAGCAAACTGAGTTTCAGCAGGTGATGCATATACGGGACAGAGGCTCCATCTGCAGCCATCAGAGCTCAGCATTAAACCTGTCTATGCACCAGAGCCTGGCTGCTACAGGCAAGGCTGAACTGCCCAAACTCTGCTCCTGTCCTGCACTGGGGTGGTTGCAGGCAAAAAAATGAGCCAAAACAGGCTCTAAACCGTTTTACTACAGACTGACATCTGAAAGCTGCTGAGCTCTTTGTATCCTCACACAAAACATTGCAAAGGACACTGCTGTGCTTCCCACCTGGAAATCACGGGTGACACACTAAAGTGCAAGCTATAAACCTGCCTGGCCAAATGGGTGTCCCTGCACCCTGGGACGTGCAGTCACACAGGTTGAACTGGGCAAGAGTGTGAAGCTGCAGGTGCTGCAACAGAGCACAAGGAACAGCAGCAAGAGTGGTGCCAACTCCATCACACCTGCATGCAGGAGCTGTACTCCAGTTGCTCTGGCTCTGGAGGGCAGCATGGTGATGCCAGAGGTGTGATGCTGGTGGTTCAAACACGGCTCAACCATGAGCCGACCCCAGAGGGTCCTGCCAAGCTGGCCTCAACTGTCCAGCAGCTCTCTTTTCCATCCCTCTGATGGGGTTTGAGAAGCACCGGCACAGCAAGTGCCAGCACCCCTGCTGAGCACACCGGGTGGCATATCCAGGCTATGCACTCTGCACAGTGACCCCATATGGGGTCCCTGCTAATGGCGCCTAGGCCTGGGAGACTGCGAGGTCTCCCGCTGCACCTGCACTGCCCAGGCAGTGCCGGGAGTCGCAGACAAAGGCGGCCCCCAGTGCTGGAGGGACAGGACAAAAGTGACGCCAGCTCCTCTCCATGTCCCACCACGACCCCACAGTGCCACCAGCTCCCAGAGCGGAGGCTGAACCTGCCTGTGGCTCCGTGCAGATCACCCTGCCTAAGGAGCAGCTTCCCTGCCTGATTTGGCTTCCTCCTTGCGTCTGCCATCTTAATAATTTGTCTGTGTTTTGTTCTTCCCAGGGTTTAGGGAGAGGCTGCAAAGAGTGTTTAGAGATAAACCATCCGTACTGTTTCTCCAGGCAAGGTGCTTCTTCTGGCTTTGTTTCTCAGTCTAATCCTGTCCCAGAACCAGGCATACGCAATTTTGTGTTTCCTGAAGATAAAGAGCCCCAACAGATGGAGCAGCTTTGGGGTTTTCGCAAGGTTCAGCACAGGAAGACAACAGTTGAGATTAACAGCCTTTAGGAAGTTTGTAAGGGATAAAGAAAACTGAAAGTTGTGGGAAAATAAGTTTAATTTTTAAAACCACTGCATGTGTGTACCTCCCTGAGTGCTGCCTGTGGGTCAGATGTCCTGGGTTTTCCCACTGCCTTTCCAAGCATCTCCATGTTGGGCACATCCAGGCATACACCAGTTTCTGCTTTATTGCTCTGATAAGCCACAGCACCACCAGAGCTTACATGCAAGGCTCAGCCTATACCCAGGGGAGCCACAGCAGGGCAGGATTCACAGCACCTCTGCCAACATGGGGTTCATGAGTCCCCTGCCCAAGGGGTGAATCTGGGTGGGAGCAGATATCCTTTAGCCAAATTTGGGGACAGAAGGGGAAACTCCCAAGGGTGCAGCAGCAGAGCCCTGCTCCCAGTGCAGCCCTCACAGGCCCAGGGACTGAAACCCAAACCTGTCCACTGAGTGCATCCCCATCCCAATCCAAGAGATTCTTTTAAAGCACCTTAAGAGCATTGTTTCGGGCTGGGGTAGAAGGGTGCCCGGCAGCGTTATCTGCGTGGCTCTGAGGCAGCAGCACTGCTATCGCCCCAAGGCGCCAGCAGAGCCAGCAGTGCCACCAAATCACAGCTTCCAGAGGCCATAAATCAGCCCAAACACAAAGCACCAGAAGCCAGAAGGTAACACAGGCACAGGGAGATTTCTGTGCCACACTTAAAGTAAATATCCTAAGAAAGGACTGAAGTTTACAAACACTCAGCAGGTTTATGTCAAAATCTCACTAGGATGATGTGTTATGGTGGGTGGCAAACCCACCAGCGCAAGAGAGATGGCAGGGCAGCAACTGCTGATCCCACTGCCCTGTCCCTCAAAAGGGCAGCAGCTCCCCATCCCCATCACCCCGTGCCTCAGAAGGACAGTGACCTGCATGGCCATCACCCCATCCCTCCTTCAGCTTTATTTTAGGCACCAAAATCCTTCTGCGACTCAGGATCGCAAGTTGACGATGCTCAGGCCAGGCACAGGAGCGAGCGGCAGCCGATGAGACGGCGTGGGAACAATCTCCAAACCCCTGCGGAGCTGCCCGGCTGCTCCCATCGCCAGCCGGGCGCACGGAGGTTGTGGCAGGGGACACGGGGGTACAGGGTGGCTCTGGAGCTCGGCCCCGCGGGGCCATGCTCAGTCCCGGCTCCGCGCATGCCCTGGCACGGGCAGAGGAGACGCTCCGTGCTGTCACGGCACACGGCGTCGCCGGCCTCGCGCCAGCTCCAGCCTGCGCCTCGCTCCCTGAACTCGGGGAACGGGGAACTGGGGGATGGATGGGAAGCAGGGGGATGAAATGGAAGCTGGGG